GTGCTTGTAATATATAATCAGCATCTGAGAAAAAGCGTGGTTTCTGTATGGTGATCTGCAAGTTATGTAAGACCACATGCATAAGAACTGTCTGCAAAAAGCATGTATTTTGATTATTGACTAATTATGGTAATTTCATCACATGTGTATTGCATCACGTCACAACATGAAGAATTAGTAGTAGGTATGGAGGTGAACCTCGGTAGTTATGCATGTGTACTGCATCATTTCACGTCACAACATGAAGAATTCATGGAACCAAGACATTTTTCCGGATAATTATATTATTTTCATACAAATGGTATAAGGTATATAGCTCACGTTCTTGGATTTGATGTAATTATCTGATTCAGGTGATGGGTGTTACTTGCAATGAATTAATGCTGGTTGCATTTTTGCTTCTTTCATCATCAAGAGCATATAGCTATTATTGTCTCAACAAGCTCCCTTGTGTTTGCTTGAACTGCATTGACTGATTTTAGATCTATGACTCTGGCCTTCAATATGGGGTGTTACTTCAGTCAATAAAATCTGCAGTTGCGAAACGTGAAATTTGTATTGACTTGAGCAACTGCATACCTGTACAGAGAGAACTCCTCAAAAGATCGGAGAATCGAAATTGTGGTGTGAACTTGATGAGGGCCTTGCCCCATCTTAAGGCTCAGCTATCATGTTCACAACTCTGTATGTACAGTGGAATCTCCGACAATGGACACTCCGAAGAGAGGACAACCTCCCTACAATGGACAAACTGCCAACTCCCTGCCGATAACCATAAGTATACACTCCATACATTTCTATCTTCAAGATATGGACAAAAACCTCCAAATGATGGACAAATCCCTCCCTGTAATTAACAAGCAGAAGCCTTGCCCTCTAAAAGCTATTCTTTGCAGCCACCCAGCCAGTAATAGATTAGAGAGAAACTGTTCCTCACATTGGATAAACATTACTAACAATAGTTTATTTCGAACCTAAGTGAGAAAAAAAGCACCAGCCACACAGAAAACAAAATATATAGGACCCCCAAAGAAAATATATTAAAGCAGTAGTTATTGGTAACCATTCACCTAGAAAATGGGCATTAAATGCTCCTTTCCAATGGTGTTTTGTTTCAGCACGCCCCCAGCTTCCAGAGGTGAAAGGATGAGGACTGTGGGTATCATACTTTGGCCTAAAGGGCTTTACAACAGCCAGTAAACTTTTTCACTTCTCAATGTTACTAATGGTAGCACGCATGTAGATAAAACATGGTACCCATGTGTATTACTTCATTTCTATGATGACTGTAAACAAGATAACCACAAAATTTATACTACAGTTATGCAGGAGTCAATGTAATGGTATGTAAGCTGTAGTTCTCTGTACAGAGCTTCCCCAGCTTCCAGAGGGGCTCCAAGGAGGTGGGCCTGAGGATGGCACCTACTGTCCTCCTCCCGCCACTGCAGGAGGCAGCTCTCCTCTGCTCCAGTTAGCTCTTGCAGCAACTCAGAGGAAGAGGGCCGCAGACTAGCTGTGGGGTTCCTGCAGTTATAATTGGTTTATTCCTCTTGTTGTCTTAGGTGCATATCTTTTACCAGCACTGGATCATGAGGCGATACACTTGTCTGGGACAGCCTGGGGGAGGGGCCAAGCGATAGCCTCTCTCCACCAACTCTATTGCCTGCAGAAATAATGAGTTGAATTATGCTGCAAAGCGGGCCAAGGAATTCTTGCCTCCATGTTTGTGTGGCCTTCAAATGGTTTGTGCCCTAGACCCCATATCTCATACATCAGGCACCCAAAACTCCAGATATCAGTGGCTGCTGAGTACTTCTTGTAGTTAAGCGTTTCTGGAGCTGTCCACTTAACTGGAATCTCCCCTCCACGAGTAACATAGTAATTCTCAGCCTGTAGGTCCCGTGACATCCCAAAGTCACTGATCTGCAAATGCCACAATTTTGAAGTTGTTGGTGACGTATGATTGATGGTTTACCTTGCACATCAGTTTTGGAGACAGTAGAATATTTCTAGCTGCAATGTCACGATGCACAAACCCCTTAGCCAAGAGGTAATCTAAACCTGCGGCCACTTGCTGGCAGAAACCAAGGAGCAAGTTCGGCCATTTCTGTTCATCCAGTTCACTTATCACCCTGAAAAGAAAGAACTGTGTGTTGTTTTACTGTTTAAGAATTATTTTATCAACTTACAGTGCCCTATTCTTGTTAAGAAAGGTACTGAGATCTCGACTGGATAGTAGCTCAAGCACAATCATAAGCTAACAGAGCACGAAAAATGCAGCTAATTCCCATTCATTCTCGTTCCAATGGTTTGCTTACCGGCTCTCCAAGTGTGACTACACCAAGGAGCTGGACAATGTTGGGGTGTCTGAATTGGCCCATGATTGCTGCCTCTTGCAGAAACATGATGGTATCCTGGCTTGCAGGGTTTGACTGCAACTTCTTGACTGCCACCTCTCTCTCACCTCCTGGGGTCTTCCAAACTCCTCTCTTTACTGTACCGAACTTTCCAGACCCTAAATGCTCAGTTACTCTACGTGAAGGGATAATTATTATAAATTGAATGCAGTGTCATTCGGGTAACATACTCAACATGGTGGGGGCATATTTCCCTGAACCTTTTGCAGTACAGCTGCTGGTAGAGACTATCTGTAGTGCTACCAGGCTGCCAGAATGAAGGAGACTCTTCAAAATAATCACAGGATGTAGGAGAACTTGACTGGACCTGTTATGTGCAGGTGCTAAGGTTCGCCAAAACACTATAATTAACAACCTTTTGGAGGGACTCATACAACATAGTGCCGTTATTGTGATAAACAGTGTGGCGTTGCTCCTGTAGCAAAATCATTATCAACACCAAGGCACATAAACCACAGTACATCCTCACCATACAGGGAACATAAAGTTCATAGCCAGCATCATCTGTACTAGACTCCTGCAGTGGACAGAGGGGAGGTATAATACCTCTTGTATGCAGTGTGTGAAATAGATTACTAGTTCATGATAATCATGTCCTTCTTCACTTTGCATTTCACTCTGTTTAGAAGGTGTGAGTGTGTGATACACATTTCTATTAGCAGTGTCTTCTCCTCTTCCTCTATGCTGAGGACTCCTCGATGCTTCAAGAACATGATAAGTGTGTTGAGAATCCGACTCAGGAGTGGTAATAGGCACTTCATACATCTGAGCCTCATCTATGCTCTGATAGAGAGCATCACCGTTGCGAGTTGGTGCAATATAGAATGGTTCAGCGAGGTTATCATTCACTGGAGCTATATACACATAAAGAGTGGAAATATACATTACATGAAACCACTAAACTGTGACAACATGTGTACCAAATAGGGTCACCATCCGGAGAAAACCCTTGCCAAAACATGCCCTCTAGCTAGTTTAATTAGTGGATGCCATGAAGGTCTGCCTGGTCATATTTGGAGCAGGGGAAGGTGCATGAACACCCTCAAGATATGCAAATAGAGGGCATGAGTATGCACAAAATATGCAATAGCTCAACATACCATTGTAGATAGGGTTGCTTCCAATGTTGTGCATAGGTTGTTCAGCTGGTGAGTTGTGACTCTGACACTTCATTGTTCCCTTCCTCTTCTTCCAGACTAGACAAGCCACAGTCACACCCACCATTAAAATCAGACCAATCACTGAAGGTCCTAATATTGCTCCAATGATCACGGCAACACGCACCTCTTCATTTGAATCTGATGGACTATGGACCAGAGAATTATACCCAGGATAAAGAGAGCTTTTGCACCCACCTTAAAGATGAACTGGGAATCAGTGTAACTGGTGGTGGAGTCTCTGTTACAAAGATGTAGGAGAGAATTATTTACTGTAACAAAGTGCATAGCAGGCACTCACGTGCACGTGATGAGTGGAAGTCAGGTGTTATCAATGGCAGTCTCATTACTGACCTAACCTCACTGGTAACAACCTCAAGATCAAGATCTGTATTAATATAGTTGGTAGGACCTCCTGTCTCAAACATCAGGAAGACTTGACTATTCTCTGGTTGTTTCACACCAATCACATCTCCAGCCTCCACTTTTATTGCTGAGTCTAGTTCACGTGTGATGACAAGTTCATCACAATTTTCTTCTTCCACATACACCTCAATGGACTCCACCAGCCTGTATTCAAGATTGGTATCTCTAGCAGTTGGTCTCCATATCTGAATGTATGGTCCACCAGCACCTTTCAGCCCTTGCACACATCTAGCAGCAATAGTCCATGAGGATATTGTCCCTGGCGTGGAAAAGTTTAGAGCTGGAATCACACTAATTTGATTGAAGCTGTAGGACACTGTGCGCTCTTCTCGAACTATCTGTTTCAAGTCAGTCATACTGAGAAATCCAGTGGTACTGTTATCATCACAATCTGTAAGAGATATAAAAGACTAATGGCACAAAGACAAAAGGGGGTATGCACACACCAATGTCAACAGCAATTAGCGGAAAGTTTTCTTCACTGCCATAGCCATCAGGAATACAGATTGTTTGAATGTCATTGTGACCTTTCTGATATATTAATGGTCCCCTGTTGTGCTGCAACCCTAGAATAGCCCCAGCAGGGACTTTGAAAGGACTTGATACATTATATTCCAACAGCACAAATGTAGATCGGTTTTCTCTAAATGTAAGGGGCATTTCTTGATACTTTATGCACAAGGGAGTGTCAGAGTCCTGGAGAGGAGCATCGCCATCTGGCACAAAGACATGTACAGTGAGTTCCATATCAGTGGGGTCAGCAGCTCGAATAAAAATTAGTCTTCTGAGAGCACTAGCACAGGGAAACACTAGTTGTGGATACACTTTGAAATCATTGCTGTAGTAAAGAACCCGGTCCTCCAGGTCAGTAACCAAGTCTCTTATTCTTTTCTCCTTTGGAAATTCGATCACTTCCTCCTGCCCTGTGGGAGGAATTAATCTCAGCTAGGCATGAAAACTGATCACACACAAAACTCACCAACTGATACCTGATAGCTAACTAGCACAGTCCACACAATTGTAGTGTAAATGAGCATGATGAATGAAAGTCTCAAGTGCTACAAGTAGTGGGAATTGTTTATAATATGTAGGCAGCAAAATCCTGCTAGTAAAATACCGTGTCGTCATGTACAAGAGACGACGTCGAGACTACCAGTCAGCATGCGCACAAAATTGCCGTTGCGCGCCATGCGCACATTGCTGTTGCGCGCGGCGGCCGGATCGAGCACAGGTTCGACCCCCCCCCTCCTCCGCGTTCAACTTACGACGGGGGTAGGTATATACACCTGAACTCTGCAGTGGCGGATGTAGGATTTTGAAAGGGGGGCGCCACTGCTCTGAATGGCAATGCTTACCTCAACTGTGACGGAAGTGGAGTGTTAACAATTTCAATGCACATTTCATTGCTACTCATGTTACTTCATTTGTCATCCCACTTCCCTGAGATTTTATCCTAGAGTGTGGATGATTAATGAACTTAGCTGGAGGTGCAGGTTACTTCATGATTGTTCCCAGGTCAGTACACTTTCCTGCGATATCCAAGAGGATCCAGATACCAACAATGCACTGAAGTGAGCAAATTTACAGTGATAATTAATTGTTGGTGAAAAAGAGGACAACCTCCCTAGAGGGGACAAAAGGGTCGTCTCCATACTGTCCCTTCTTTGGAGGTTTCACTGTATGTGCATTTACATTTTAAAATCACAAAATGTGAGCTGAACAGCCTGAAGTAACTGTGTAAATGCAATGTTTTGGAGTCAACCAGGTGGAGCCTCAGTGACTGGTTACTTGTGACTCACTGCAGTGATGGCATCAATAGTGCTAACATCACATGTTGTATAGTAAGCTAAACTCGTGTATACTAGAAGCTTGCTACATCTTCCAAGCTGTCAGATAATTATACTATTAACGTGTAGTCCGCTTATAAAAAGGGGCGTGCCAGGCAAAAATCGATTAACTTTAGCGCACACCGTGACAAAATGGCGGTGTTCAAACTACTGTCTCTTCACTTCCTGAGCCGCTGGCTACCACGCATCCGTTTCCACGCACTAAAACACGCTGCGTTTGTCCTAATAAAAGCCTCTCAATGCTAAATCAGCGCTTCTTGCGCTACTTGCACATGAATGCGCTGAACAGCGCTTCTTGTGCTACTCGCACATGAATGTCTGAACCGCCAGCGGCCAAGAAACCGAGGGTCGGCGGCCCACGTTTGACTCTCCAGCTAACGTTTGGCAACACTGACACAATGGCAGCGTTCAAGGAGCGAATGGAAGCTCTAAAGTCCGCTCTCGCTCCTGCGGGAGCACCTCCATTGAAGCCGGTCGAGCTAATGGCGAAGCTCTTTGACATAGCTGATATTAATTATCTTGTTCTTTCCATCAGCAGAGTCCTGAGGAACTATCCCTAGCCCTAGCCCTCAGCAAAGTCCTGAGGAACAGGAGGAAGACTGAGCCATACAGCCAGCTTGCACGCACTTCACTATAATTCTCGTTGTGTGTACAATCCCATACCCCAACGATAGTACGCAAACAAGAAGCAAAAGGTTCATTGAAAATGTACATATTATTACAGTGAATAATGCTAGATGTAAATAGTTATCGACGGTATCTGTTCCTCTTGAAACGGAACCACAACTGCAGTATGTTGTTGTTGAACTGGCTCTTGAACCCATGTTTCCACGAGTACTCCCACTCCCTATTTACTATCTTAAAAGCAATATCCTAAAAAAAGAAATACATTCTGATACACTGAAAGTACAAATTTTGCACATATATACCTCATAAGGGGGGCCACCATGAAACCTCAAAATGGCAAAGTCTTTATTGTCCTGACAAGGTTTCTGCAGTCATAAAAGTTCTAGAATAAAGCTAGAAACATGATTGAAAACTCACTAAGGAATACGTTGGAGTTTTCCTCTTATCAATAAGATCAGGGAAAAAGATCTGCACAAAATAATCACGTGGAGAGGTTACTGAAAAATAAGTGGCATGCTTAGATTGGATTGTGTTAATCAAAAACGTGTAACAACAAAGTATACACTAAAACAGAAATGAAAAGCACTAAAGTGCAAACCCTCGGCGAACTGTGCATGCGTGGTACTGCTAATAGATGGGCGGGCCGGGCTATTGGCGTTTACCCGCGGTCTCCCGCTAGTAACTCGCGGAGAGTCTGACACGGGCTAGCTACGGTAGTAGATAGCATGCGGGAGTCGATACACGCCCTTCGCTGTGGCTTCTTGTGCCTCCGAGGTACACAGAGCAAGCGGATCAGGTCAAGGTTAGCCGGCAAACCGCGTTGATCGCGACGCATGCGCACCGCTTATTGATGGGTTGGGCCACGCAACGCGGTCCGCGACAGTGCCTGTTTGTCGCTCTTGAATGCAGTCGTTTCAGAAAATCGCCCTTTTAGCTTTCAGGCTCGTGCAATTCTGAAGCCGCTGGTATCGCTAATGGGCCGCCTCGTATCCTGAAGAGCTAGAATAAACACACACAGACCAACCAACTACAGTAACCCTCGCTGCGCATGTGCGCCGAGGGTTAATTTTCGACTATGTATGGTGCCTTACGTTGAACTTGTATCCCTGGACAATCTTAGGGGGTGGGTTGTCTGTATCATAATGAGTCTGGTTATACTTGTTCCACTCAAACCCCTGAAGATAAAATCACAGCTATAACTTGTATCTTTAGTCTGTGTAATAAACAATGTATAACTTACAGTGTGAACTCTGTTCAGGAATCTCGGTTTCCTTGGCCGATACTTTTCTTTCCACAGCAGATCCTATGCACATATTTGTTAACGAAATACATATACTTGCAGACTTGTCACTTTACTTGATGTTCTATGGTAACTTCAGAGTTGAAGTTATACTCCTCAGTGGCAATACCATCTGTATCCACCTTCCTCTGCATCTCAATTTCACTGTAGTCACTCACCAGCTGTAACACCCAACACGGAACTCTATATACAGAGCTTGAAAACAAGTCAACTACACCAAGGACAACTCTCACAATACAACACAAAGGCAAACCCAAAACAACTGTGCTATGGCACGCATACTCTCACTCAGTATGTAGGAGCAGACCTGGGTAGTTAAACCACCAAAGAAACCCAACTCCAAACTTTAGTATTTGCACGGGTAAACTACAAGGTAGTAGAGAGAAACGAAAGACGAGATCAAACCATCCTCCACCCAAGCACACAAATCCGACAAACAACACACTCACACAATACACACACGCACACACAAAGAAAGGTCGGACACCAGGTGCCCAGCCTTGAGAACTGGGACACTCTACCAACTGAGCTACCAGGACAACTCCAACTGGTAGGGGTTCAAATCTTCAACCCAAAAGCAAATCCCAAACTATGCACAGTTTTGTTAACCACTGTGTCGGAGTTTGCACATGACGACTTATTGTATTACTGTCCATTGCATGTGTGCCCACCACTGTCCATTGCATGTGCATCAACCACATTACTTATTATTATTCAATGGACATACACACCACCACAGGTGTTAAGAAAAACAAACGTAAATATAAAGTGGAGAAAAGGATGTATGTATGTAGAAGAGTGAGATAGAGTAGACCAGTGGCCTTCTGGACTTTATCCCGTCGCCAACTGAGGGCTTACGGGCTCCTGGAGCGAACACTGGTCTGTTCTGTGACCTACCCAGTCAAAACAACGTAAAAAGTGCAGGGAACTTACAGTACTCTCGCGCAGCACAGCTACATGCTGTACTTGGCTTGGCTGTCCATAACAGCAGAGTGTAGCAGCAATGGAGTGAAAAAAACCAGTTGCCTAGCTGTTGGCAGACAGTGTGGAGTATACGCCCACCCTGAAGGTTTCTCTCAAGGTCTCTACAGGCTTGTGTGAGATCCAGAGCCGTTGTAATCCTTCCAGAAACGTCGCAGAAAAGTAGGGAAGTGTGAACGCTAGCTCCGTGTATGGCATCCGTGATCGCTTTTGCGGGGTGTAATTTGTGAATCTACTAGTCCAGTCCAGTCCAGCGATTGCAGACAGCCGGGAACTATAATGATATGCTTTTAGCCCCCAGCTGAGCACTTCCTTCACACTTTGCAACTGCTAATTAACCGTGCTTGCTGCCTGTTCACCCACCTTGCTGCACTCTCTGCATGCATGCAGCCCTGAACATGCACTTTGTTCGAGTTTAAATGTACTGAGTGTCATTACCGTTTCTCCAGAAAGAACTCTCTCTCTGTTTGCCACTCTTTTAGCACTATCCTCCTCAGCAGTTACCACATGTTCCTTTATATAAAAAAAGAATATGCAAGAAATTTGTTGCAGATTATGACGGGTGTAATTATAGCAAAGGTTGCTAACCCTCGGCGAGATGTGGGTTACAGTACTTGGTTTGTATATAAGTTTGTGTGTGTTTGTCTGTCTGTCTCTGAATGCGTTTTCTGCAAACCACATGCAACAAGCCACCCAAAAGCGATACCAGCGCTACATTGGCTTGATTTGCATAAAAACACTGTGTTCACAATCTATGGCGTGAAAAGCAAGTGAGTAAGCTAATATGCAAATTATTACTTGATTATATAGATCGCACTCCACTTGTTTGCATGCGTTGGAGGCATTACAAGATACAATGGAGTGCATATGTTGTAGTCAGGTACAACTCTCAGAAAGCTAGCACGAGACCACGGTAGTGTAGCCCAGCCCAGCCCATCAGTTAGCGGTTCTGACCTGCGCATTGCGTATTCCTATACCCACGAATTTCTAAGTATGTCAAGGGTTAGCATTTTAGGGGTTTTAAAAAAGTGATGCAGATTTTTATAAGGAGGATGAAAGTGCAAACCCTTAGGACTAAACAAACACTTATGCTGACACTATAGCGGCACACTAACAAGCATAAGCATATCACCGAAAGCACCGATCATTGACCACGCCACCCAGTAGCTGACAATGTAAGTTCTTCGCTTGCTGCCGCTATAGCATCAGTGATTGAGCAATGCCTGACTAGACACTTTGTGTCCAACATGGTGCGTTTAACGGCTAATCACTAATCTAAGTAAGCCACTGCTCATTAGCACATGTTTTGGTCTCTATGTTTGCTGTAATATGCATCTAGCACAACCTGTAAATAGTGCAAAGGCTTATCTCTGTATTTTACCTGGATTTCATAATTCACAATTGCTCGTCAAAACAACAACAAGGTAATTGAACTACCTGAGTTACCAACAGATTATGCGATTTAAGCTTGTTTTTATACACATAATTATGTATTTTCACCAAACTCATCAGACGATTATATATTATGAGACATGGGTTCTAACTGAAAAGGCTTTATGCTACATAATCCCTATAATAGTATTAAGTACTGATTAAACAGCAGTGAGTGTGGATCATGTACATTTCCATCCCTACATAGAGCATCAATTAAGAGAGCATCAATTAAGATACCGTAATTGGGGGCAGCAGACTAATTTTTTCAATAGGATGTTCGTGAATTATAGTATTTTTCTCTGCTTTTTAGGCCGTGTTTCACAAATTATTCCTACTCCATATATTCTCTATGGGAGCGAAAACCAGTGTGTGAGTGCACTGGTAGCAAACGGTTCCTCGCAACTATGCACTTCCTGCCTTCAACGGTATGCACAGGCAATAAGTTATTTTGACCTCTGTCACGCATGCCTATTGTGATTAAGCTCTAATACTCCTGCGCGTACCGTAAGACACAGAGAAAGCCACTACACATAATAGCGAATCGTTCGCTCTTGGCGAAGTAGCACACTGGTTTTCTCTCCCATAGGGAATGTATGGAGGAGGAATATGAATAGTCAAATGAGTTTGTGAAAATAAAAAGCCTAAAATCCGAGATAATTCACGAGCATTTCAGCTATGCTATTGACAAAATGGCCACCCCCCAATTACGGTACCGTTTACACTCTAACAGCAGACTTCTCATTATTGAAAAATATTTACTCTGCTCAGGATTGAATCCTCACTGATGAACAAAAAGTACCTATGTCTTATTAAGCCCCTACATATGTACACAGTTAAGATCATTATTTCTTTTGCTATCCCACAGTTCTAGTTCACCGTGCGTTTGACGTAATGCACACAGCTTAGACCCTGGCCCTGGCATGCGTATCGTCTATTATTTGCTGATAGAACCAGCACCCTCACGGAAGCAAATATAGTAGGTTCAATGAAGTACTGCCAATTGGGCTAACCTGTTGAATCAATTGTGCTCTTGCTAGCTAACTGAGAGTCTGCACGGGCTAGCTACACTTTTAGACGTTTCATGCACTGACTCCCACCCTCCATTGTAACATCTGATTTCTCGATGGTACGTATGCGAATGCAGTTGAAGTACGACATATAACTTCGGAATGACAAATTTTACGAAAATGCCGTTGTTAAAATCAAGTCAGTGTAGCACTTAACTTGTAGGTATCACTCTTTGGGAAGCTTGTTGTGTGTGGTGGAATGTGAAAGACAGGACAGCGGACGTAGGGCACACTAAGTTCTCTAACTCTCGCTTTGTATGCCAAACGTAAGCAAAAACCTTTCCACACTTCCCTGCAGGCAAACACATGCACCTACTTGGGACAGCAACGAGGCCAATTTGAATCAAAAGTGCAAAATTAATGAAAAGCACTAGAGTGCAAACCCTCGGCGAACTGCGCATGCACGGTACCACTAATTGATGGGCTGGGCTTTTAGTATGCTTATGGTCTGACACTGACTAGCTACAGTAGTAGATAGCATGCAGGAGTCGATTCACGCCCTTCGTTGTGACTTCTTGTGCCTTCAAGAAGCACAGAGCAAGCCGACCTGGTCAAGGTAGCCTGTGCTAATTTGCATATTGGCGTGTTTACTTGCTTTTCACGCCATAACTTTTGAATGCAGTAGTTATACAAAAATTGTCTTTTTAAAAATGAAGCCAGTGTAGCAATAAACCTGTTGAAACTCACCTCTGAAAAATCCATAGTTTTGAACAGTTTTGGACTGTATCTTCCACTCTCATAATCCAGGTATGCTGTGAATGAAACATTGCACCTTACATTATGAGGCAAAGGTAACATGCATGGGTGAGATAGGGATCATGCAATCATGCTCTTCTGAGTAATCATACTGTGGTTTTGGATTCACAGTACCACAGAAAATATACCTTGTTCCAGCAAGTCCTCTTCAGCAATGAGAGTTTCTGACCTACATGAAAAGAGACCGGGTACAGTAACTTAGCTAGACCTAAACGCACCAGTGAGGTCATGCCCAATGTCAATTTAATGGTCTATCATAGTGCCTGAGATGGTGAGAGCATACAACCATGTCCATTTTTAACAAACCACCAAATATAACTGAATGTGCACCAACAATCTTGCATCACAAGCTTCATACTGAGTCGTGCTATGCCACTGATACGCTTTTCGGCAAACGCACCGGTCATCAGGTACAGTACATGGAAAATGCAAAGAAGCCGGCAGACTGTTTGCCGTCAACAAAGCAACACTGTTAGATTAGTTAATAAGCAAAGTAAGGTTGGGCTGCAGTATAACATCACATTTCATTGATTTACAACACTGAACGATATTAACATAACATAGCTCAAAGCTCACTCTTGTGCTTTTGTTCCTGACACCCCAGCACTAGAACCAGCCTCTTCACATGGAGCCTCAGGTTGCTTTCTTTCTTGTGTGTCTTCTCCCTCAGATACCTTGCCTTCCTCCAGTGTTCTCGAGTCCTCAGCCTCTGTTTTGATACCTTCTGCACTCGGAAACAGTGGAGTTCCAGCTACTCCAAACTCTTCAGCTTGCTGGAAGAAGATTGAACCACTGAGTAGCACCTCCTAACATAATCTGCCTGCTGAGTCCTTTATATGAAGTACATTATGATCAAACCTCTTGCTTGAGCTGCCAGAGTTTTCTTCTTAGCATAGCCTGGTGCTTTGCCTTCAGCCGCGCCTAAATATGAATTCAGAGTATCACTAATCTCAAGTCCACATATTTCCCCTGAATGCCCATTTTTTTGTGTAACCCACAAGACTAACAAAGAAAGAAGCATCAAGAGTAACATCTTTCTTTGGGTCGTAAATCACTAATCCCTTCATCGTTAAACCACATTACTATAATAATACTTGTTTGTTAATTGTGAGTTAGAGAAAAGCAGCCAAAATGCTACTACAGTGAATGAAAAGCACTAAAGTGCAAACCCTCGGCGAACTGCGCATGCGCGGTAGCACTAATTGATGGGCTGGGCTTTGTATCTTTACCCGTGGTATCCCGCTAGTAGCTCGCGGAGAGTCTGACATGGGCTAGGTATAGTAGTAGATAGCATGCGGGTGTCGATACACGCCCTTCGTTGTGACTTCTTGTGCCTGCAAGATACACAGAGCGAGCGGATGCGGTCGAGGTAAGCCTACGCTAATTTGCATATTGGCTTGTTCACTTGCTTTTCACGCCATAACTTTTGAACGCAGTTGTTATACGAAAATCGCCTTTTTTAAAATGAAGCCAGTGTAGCGACGAACCCGTTGGTATCGCTATTTTGTTATCTCGTTGCGCGTAGTCGCAGAAAACGTGGTAACAGACAGACAGACAGAGTGACAGACTGACACACTTACGGGGGGACAACTACCATAACCCTCGCTGCGCATGCGCGCCGAGGGTTAACAATAGGTAGAGTCATTACTGATGTGCATGCAGGCTGTAGTTGTGAGGAAATTTAGGTTAATTCTTCAGATTACCCGGGCCATGTGAGCATTGAGCTGCTGCAATAATGACTCCCAGTAGCCCACATCAGTTCCACCATCAGCTCCAGTTATTTTTGATTTGATTTTTGCTTCTAATTGGACCAATTCACCGTACTGAAAAAAACAACACACCAGATTGGATTGCTGAGATACCACTTTAAAACTAAGAGAAAAAAGGATAAAACCTCAGAGAACTGTTCCTCAAACATCATTAATGGATGGAAACACAAGTTGAATGGCAAATAATCACGATAATTATTGTACTTCCATCAAACAGTAGTGTTTCACTTCACCTGAGCCCTCGTATTAAAGTATGCAGTACTGCAAGTAAAGTACACGGTAAATATTAAAACACTTTGCACAACAACTTCCAGGGCTACGGTGAATTGGTGAATTGGAATAGACCTAAGTTTAGTCTATTCAATGAAGCATGTGGCAAGAGATCTCTCAAAGGATGACCATCTAGTCCAGTGTTGCTTTAGAACAAATTTTTACTATTATGGAAATAATGCACCATAGCTTACATCCTTCCCCTTGAAGATTGAGGATACATCGGAAGTGACACTTTCATTGATGCCTCCTCTTCTTTCAGCTGCACTCTCACCTGTACATACATAATAATGATGAATGCCGTGAAAAGTACTGTAAGGTACTGAGGGAAAATAATCAGTAAGTTGCGATAGCACAGATTCACTGCAACAGTCATGAGAATTAATAACCTGTGGCCACGGATTTATATAGCAACAAGTACTGTAGCAATACTGACTGTGCTAGGAATGGCAACATGCCACACACAAGCAGCATCAACAACTCTGCAGATTCACTCATGGGCCCTTTCAGCATAGTAAGGTCCCAAAACGTGAATGTGTCTAAAGTTGGATGTTTAACCACACAAAAGTAGTGGTACTAACCTCTTTCGCTTCTTTCGAGCTTTTTTAACTTTTCAATCTCATCCTCACACACTACCATAATGTCCTGTTAACAGCAATTATTGCCATGTAAATTCATACACCAAATGATAAATCCTTGGAACACATGTGCAGCAAGGGTAACAGTACTTGGTTCATAAAAATGTGCATGTGTATCTATCTGTCAGTTTTTCTGCCACTACACAAAACAAGCCAGCAAAAAGTGACACTAATGGCATCAAGCGCTAAGTTGACTTGATTTTAATAAAAACGCTGTGTTCAAAAGTTACGTATTGGGTCAACTCCAACTCTATCAGTGATTTTTAACCCTCGCTGACATGCATCAGCAGTGAGGGTTATTGTAGTCAGTCTGAGTGTGCGTGTGAGTGTGTGTATCTGTCTGTCAACTGTTTTTCTCAGTAATTGCGGCAGGTCTAAGGGTTAAACGTGAATATCGTGGAAGGTACATAGTAGCTATGCTCGGTACAGCAAGATTCTGGAGTGGAGACAACTGCATAGGATGGCAGGTAGTTTGTTGCCAAGAAAGCATGTGGCATGACAGCAACACTAGCAACAACATACCTGCTGAGCTGTATACATTTTGCCATTCTTGGAGTCATTGTTCAATCAGAACAAAATGAAAACCACTAAAGTGCAAACCCTCGGCCCACTAGAAACGCTAGTCTCATTCCCAGTCTGTTTTTTGCTGGGGAAGGAAAAACGGGATGGTATAATCTGTAACTGCCCATCCCCAGAAAGTTGGGGATACTGAATATTATTCCGTATTCTCCCAGCGGTGTGTTTGTGTATGTCATCTTTAGCCACCTATGAGTGCCTTAACAACGGTTGAAAAACGATCCATGCAGTGTTTATGGGCGCCGTAGAAGCTCTTATACACATTAGAACAGATCTTGAACGACTTTAGGCAGCTAGAGTAGGGTTCCACGTAAGCAAGGTTGAAGAAGACCGACCTAAAGAAAGGCTCACACGAGGTGTGTTGTGTTGTAGATTCGAATACTTACCAGCTGAGTTGCCCTGGTAGCTCAGTTGGTAGAGCGCTTGCAGAGTGTCGTGGGTTCCAATCCCACCCAGGGCAGCTCTTGAAATTTTTAATTTTCATAGGCAATAGATATATGTTTTGACCTATACCCGATGCTGAATATGTGGTATCGTTTGTGGAGTGATTCATGGTTCGTGAAGCGAGATGTCGGGTAACAGACTGACTGACAGACAGACACACACAACAACTACCGAACCTTTGCTGCACATGTGCGCCGAGGGTTAATCATCCTATTGCCCAAACACAAAAATGAAAAAGCATAACAACATCTTACAATCATACTCTAAGGTTAATTAGTACAACAGTAACATAAAAAATCCACATACCCTCCAGAATTCAAGATTGGTTTCTTTCTCAATAGTACGGTAAACTTCAATATCCTCAAGCAGATCTTCAAGATCGGCTACATTCAATCCCTACATATCAGACATATAATTATATGTACATAGCTGGCGAATGAACATGCAAATCAAGTCATAGCACTTTTAAACACGTTTCGCATTGCTGCTGTGGCAGCAAATGAGCATAGCACGTTTCGCATGGCCAGCCTACAAACAGCAAATTTCACAAGTCTAACACTGACTAACACCCATTCCACATGGAGTTATTGCAAGATGGAAGACCTGCTCATTGGATACATACCTTGAGGAGGTTGTAGGGTTCCTGGATCTCAATATCCACATCTTCCTCAGTCATGTTAGCATATTTAGCCAGCAGGTCAATAGGATTTGCTACACATATATAATTATGGCAGGGGGATGGATTTGTGACACACCATTAAAAAAACCCACTCTTCAGCTCCAGCATCACTAATAAATCTTGGCTTGGCTAATAAATGTCTCCTTATACAGTGCAGTTACATGAGCTAACTCATCAAAGGTATGTACGTATTTAGCAGACCAACATAGAGCACTAGTACAATGAGCTCACCCCTTCCAGATTCAATTCGTATCTTAGACCGTAATTTGGCTTGCTCAAGGTGAAACTATGGGAATATGAATCACATCGTCTACATTCCCACATATTCATTAAATGCAATACCATATCTTCCTGTGCCTCCCATTCCTTAAATTGCTCTGCTTCTTTGAGCCTCTGTAGTAACACCTGCATACATGAAGCAAAAATAATTAAGTAAAAACTTTAAAGACACTTCAACACGTGCTGCCAACGTGGTGAGCTTAAATAATCGAATCTGATCTTTCAACTCACCACGTCACCTTGTCCGCAATCACACAGGCTTATTGACTTACCCCATCAGAGCCAGTGCCACGGGGAGCAACGAGAGCCAAGCTGTTCTAAGGTCTTGCTTTCTATTTTTCACACAGAAATGCCATCGAACAGGCACGGCAATGTGTTGAAATTTGTTCAAAATTAAGGGCTGCATGGGCGGCTGTGTTGGACCACCTTTAATTCAATGATGTATGTACATAGTACATAAGCTACTTTTAATACTCACTGCTTCTTCTTCTCTGGCCTCTCTCTCCTTCTCTCTTTCCTAGAAGAATTAAACAGCGAAATTCCACTTGTTATAATTATACAACGGCTAAATTTACTAAGCACGGAGCATGTGTGTATGAGTATATGTGTACATGTACATACACGCTCCATTTTGTGTTATAGTTCATGTGCATGAGAATTGTACACATGAAAATCATGAAGAAGTGACTAGTAGCACCACATGAAAGACACTAATCAGCACAGAGTGCGTTTGCGTGTATGTATATGTTGGGAATCGATTAAAAACCTGGCCCGTTTTAAAGCCGCCCGACCATGTTAAAACGAGGCAGACAGATTTAAAACGGGCCAGGCGACTTTAATATGGGCCTGACGGCTTTAACTCCGGTCCGACGGTTTTTAAGCCGCCCCGAGGGTAAAGCCCGACGATTTTTAAGCAGACTTGGCACAATAAACGTGCAGGATGGCTTTTTCTAGGTTTGTTACAAATGGCCTAATTGCGCAATGGCCAGGGGCCTTGCGAGCACGGTCCGTGCATGCATAAAATTGGGCCGGGAGCAGTGTCCAAACCGTGCCAGCAGCTGTTCCAGCCAGTAGCCTTGCGGGCGCTGTTGACCAGCAGTAGAGAGACGGACGGAGTTACCACCATTGCGCGCCTATTGTGCGCATGCGCTGATTGATTGACAAGTGAGGATTTGAAGACTGAAAAACGTCTGGACGGTTTCTAGATGGCTTTAAACTGGTCTGGACCGCGTAAAATCCGTCTGGGCGGCTTTAAAACCAGCTGGCCTGTTCTAAACCCATCTGGACAGCTTAATAACGGGCTTCTGGTTTTGAAGTGGTCTCCAACATATACATACAATGTATGTACACTCACACATGAGTATCACTAAATTATGGTCTATTTCTTGCTCTAAAGTGCTAAACAATTGCTCTTATTCACATTATGCAAAAAGTCTGAAATACTTACAAGTCTCCTCATTTTGACTTTTTGCAGCTCCCTCCTCAGTTCTTCTTGTTTCAGTCTCTCTCTTTTTTCTAGCTCCTCTTTCGTTATTTGTTTTCCTGTTGACTCCACCTCCCTTTTCTGTGCCACAACAACAGCATTACCTTAGTTTGTTACCTTAGTTGGCAAACAATTACTACGACTACGGAACAAAGCTTTGAAGCCTTGGATACATTACAATAATGCCATCAATTTGTGTGCAAATTCTAATATGAGGTCGTGTACAAGCGTATATTTCATTTCCACTGATTTTGTTGCTTTTGAGTGCTGAAATCTTCATAGCTGCTTTCTGTGCACACATGAATACGGAGATGTTGAATGGAGATCAAACTCGCTTGACTTTTATGTAAGATTATTGCACATGGAGAAGGGGTACTGGAAAAGGCAAACTGTCCACAAATAGATACAACACCAACACACATACACACCTTCTGCCATACAAACTTGTCCAGCAAGTGATGGTCACCAAATGGATTATCCGCATTTGTGTAGTCCTAGAAAAAAAAAGATTATATCAAAATACCTACTACACTATGGGTGTATCCAATTGCTGGACTGGACAAATGGACTGATGTACGCATGCGAAATGTGCAACAGTCTTCTTCTTTGAGCAAAGTGGGGGACTTGCTTCAGTCATTGCTATGTATGTAGCTGCCTGGGTCATGTCAGACTAATTGCTAGGCATCAAGGGTAAAGATGGCGAATATTGTATAACGTATGTACAATGTGACACATTCCTATTTCTACTCCTCTGGATGTACGTAGACCCTATTAAAGAAAGGGATCGCACTGGGAGTTACTTATAATGCACAACAAGGGTTGGTTTGTGTGCGTACATGTGTACACTGTCTGTCTGTGTACGTTGACTGCTAATTACTGGATATGATGTTGCAAAACAGTAATACACAACTATGTACCAACAGCTTTAAACGCTGAGTCCAGTAGTCCCGTAAAAAAACCAGTCCAGTGCTCTGGTAAGCGATTGGATACACTAATTACACACTATCAATAAAATGTACCTATGTACAAAATTTTAAACCCACGCCACCCACACGCACTGAGGGTTACGGTATTTGGTTTGTAAGTGTTTCTGTCTGTCTGTCCGTCTGTCTGTTACCACGTTTTCTGCGACTACCCGCAATGAGACAACAAAACTTCAATACCAACGGGTTCATCACTACACTGGCTTTATTTTAAAAAGGGTGATTTCGTACAACTACTGGGTTCAAAAGTTATGGCGTGAAAAGCAAGTGAACAAGCCAATATGCAAATTAGCACAGGCTTACCTCGACCGCGTCCACTCACTCTGTGTATCTTGAAGGCACAAGAAGTCACAACGAAGGGCGTGTATCGATTCCCCCATACTATCTACTACTGTAGCTACCCCGTGTCCGACTCTCCGCGAGCTACTAACGGGAGACCACAAGTAAAGGCATACAAAAGCCCAGCCATGAAATAGTGGTACCGCGCTTGCGCAGTTCGCCCAGGGTTAGCACTTTAGTAGTGCTTTTCATTATTCACAGTAACTGTATATACAGTGTTGCAGTACAACAAGACAAGGTTCAGCCAGCGTATTACATCATGACCACGACAACTATAGTTTCCATGACGCCTACATGTTCGTAAACAACAATAAATAGCCTCAGGCACAAATTACTTCTTCACACCTCATACTTGTTAATGGTGGCATGCATGGGGAGATGAACTTGGTACACGCTGTGTCCATACACAAACACACAACCCAATACCTACAGGCTTATTTTCTGTATTTCTTTTCCTCCGTCAAACTATACTTGCAAACACTATCACTCATCCAGGATGCGTATTGCAAAACCATTTTTTATCCTGTGACAAACTAACTATCACGGACCTACTACCTGGTCGTTCCAGGATCACCCACGATAAAGTCTTGGGAGACAAGCACACACAAAAGCCTTAGCCGCACTTTGTCATTGAATACTCGCTTCTCTCACGAGCGTCCCTCAGCCGCGACGTGTTAAGCAGCGGCAGCTCACCCGCGCAGCCAGAGTGAACCATGGGAAATGCATCTGGCGTTACTTGACATCGCGCATTTCCATGAACACAAAAACATGTTTGTACATCGGTCAGACCCAACAAGCATAAAGTTCTTTATAGGCTCGGTCTAAGCCTCTGCCTCCCCCCTTTCACCGCGAGTATCTGCGCTAGTTAGGTCCTATAACAAATGAATGGTAACTTTAAAATCCTGCCGGCGATTTAATAAGACTGACGGTCCATACGGGTGCCTTGGGGTGGCGCTATGCGCAAAAAGCACAGGCGATGACAAAGAAGATATAGGGACGGAACTGCGAAAAGCATTTATCCGATAGCGTCAGTGGCACTTACAACTTGAAAAGGTTCATGCTTGCATGCTACAACCGCTGAGCCAAATCGGATGATAACCCGAGTTGGCAACCACCCCAGTACAGAACAAAATCGCCTATGACCCGAGGCCCCGAGCGTTTGATGGGGTTCCGGGTGTCAAACGCGTGCGCCTCAAATCTGCCCATGCTTTAGTCGTATCCATCCCCCCAATCCTCCGATCTTTGTCTCCCCTACCTTGTTTATACTCCTCCCCCTATATGCCGTGCTTGTTTTGATTTTAACATTTACTGCTGGGGCTTAAAGAGACGTAATAGCACAACTTCGCAGGCAGGTGCAAACTGAACCCAGGTCGTTTTCGTTATGACCAGAGCCCGATGGCGCATTGTCTCTCTCTCGCATCGTGCGTGTTTTTCCTTTTTCTCTGCTTCTTTCCTTTGTGTCTGGCGAGCACGTTGCGTCCTTCCGGGAGTGTTCAAGAGCCTTTCATAATTATCTATTCTTGTATTAGTCGCCTACCATCACAAGATGTAAACCTACTGTTTTCCCATGTCTTACGACACATTGTATTACTAGGACAGCGTAGCTCCACAGTGCCATGATACTCACATATGTTTTCAGTCATCAGATCTCATCTAATCACAGCACCACAGTGCAATCACCCCATCGAAAAGTGGTCACAGAACAACCCTTTCCGGGTGGGTCTGAAGCCGAAGCTCCCCGGGCGGCGCATGGCGGGCGCGCCGCATTTGCCCCCTACTGCCGCGGCCCCCGACTCACAATTGATTGCTATGGTGGGGCTATTTGGCTAGGCTTTTACTCATGGCGTCGCCAAGATCAGCCGTCCTACCAAATAGCATCGCAACGAGGCACTTCTGGGACGTCCGGCCCGAGCTACCAGTA